ATACTGTTGCAAAGAACCAATTTTCACAAACTGAGGCGTGTCTGAGAAGAGGCTGTTTAAAGGTTCAGAGAACTCTGCTGCCTCTATAAGACAGATATGTTTGTTGTCTTTCCAAACAAAACAAGATAAGACCTGAAAATTAATCCACAAATGTCTTTGACGTGTAAACTTTTAAAACAGCCATTGGACAATTTCTGAAATGTGTTTTCTTGCCAATAATCAGATTAGAAGTGAGTGAGGAAGCATACCACTTATACCTGTGACGCTGATGTAACGCCATCACCACTAGCTAGCTTGGCCTAGCATAAAGAAACTGTAAACAGCTAGCTAAGCTCTAAAACAACGAGCTTATTAGTCATGAACATGTTTTATCATATTTGTGATGCTGATGATAAAGAGATACATTTGATCACCCAAGGGCAGAGCCAGGCTAGCTTTTTACCCACCAGTCTTAATGCTAAGGGATAAGAGAGTGGAACCCAACTTCTAGCAAGAAACCAAAACATTGTGAAACCAAATGTGATTCATTGCTGGCAAGAAGAAAAAAAAAAACCTTTCCCATGATCTTGAACATTTGCTGTAAAGTTTGTATGGCCCTTTCCCTATGACATGTCTTTATGCTAATTTAAGCTAACTTCATGCTCTTTGATTTATGATTTTAAAAAAAACATGAGAATAGTTTGCCTAGCAACTGTGCTATCTAAATGCATGAACAAAAAGATGTATTTCTTAAAATTCAAAAAGTCCTTAAATACTGTTTTGCCCTAGAATTAGATTTTTTTGTTTGTGTAGCTAGGCTAACCAGCTAGCTATTAATTCAGCGAAATAATCCACTTTAAAGGCACGGAAAAAGTTAAATACATTTGTCAGCTGTGCTATAGCCGTCAAGAAATGTCATATTCAACATGCAGCCTGGCAGCTTAATCAGATAATATCAGGCGAGCACGTTTGACCGGCTGCTCCACACGCCCTTCGTCCTGCCTGGAGGCCCTGGTCTGACCCGCCTCCCAGGCCTCTTCTCTCACCTCGGCAATGATTGGCGTGGCCACAGGTTTCCTGCTCCAACACAAGAGCCCATCTTCAAAGTAATAGCTTACAGCTGCTGCCTTGCTAATCCTCATCCCCTCTGTCTTTGAAGGGATGCGGTGACATAATAGCCCTGCCTATTCTTCACTAAATTGTTATGGTGTTTCTGCGAGTGTTGTTCAATAGCAAAAGGGGAGTAGGTGAGACTGTTGCACGTGTTGCTAAATGTAGCATGATTATCAAGCGCCATAAGCAGCTCCATACTCCTTTACCCCTCCTCCCCTAGCTTTTTTTTTTTTTTATATTCTTTTGGGTTTCTTTTATCCCTCCCAGTCCTCCTGATGCTTATCACTGCGGCAGAAGCATTAAATGTAATGTCTGTAGAAGGGAAATCATTGGCAACATGTGGTGAGAGCTTAAGATGTTGTCACACTTTAAGTTGCCTGTAATCTGTTCAAAGGGAGAGTGCATAGTTCTCCAAAGTGCCGGGAAAAGGGGGGAAGAAGAAGAGCAGCAGTGAGGCTGTGGTCTCTGAGCTGCACTTTGCTCTGCTGAAGTGTTCGTCAGACAAAATAACTGTCGCTCCCTGTTGATTTTTGTCTTTCTCATAATGCTCTTTTTTTTCCTTCTCAGTCTGGGCTTGTTCTTTTTTTTTTTGTTGTTGTTGTGTTTTTAAAAAACACACCCTGTAGCATTAAAAGCCTCAGCAGTGTGATAATCTGTCACTGAGAGGAGGAGAAAACCATAGATAACGTAAGAAAGAACAGACAAGGGATTACAGGTACGTGGACACAGGATTAAAAAGAGGGACGTAATGATTCCTCTGGAACGGAGCTTTGTGCTGAGACAGGCTCTTTTTTTTTTTTTTTTTCATTTATGAGTCCAGTTCTAGGGAGGCCTGGGTAAATATTGACAGTTCTCTGTGCTTGAGATGTGGCCATTGATCCACACAGGAGGGTCTCATCGCTTGATCTGTGCGCTCAGGTGAGGGAGGAGGGGAGACGCGAGAGCGGGGACATGCTGGTGGTCTTCTTTGTGGTGTGTTTTAAACACAGGCTAGCTTAAAGCCTGGCTCTGCAACACTGGGAGTCATGTTACGCAGGCAAGCCGAACGTCCAGAAAGTGGATTTCAGTCGGGTCAGTGGGATCAAGTAGAGTCAGAACGTGGTAAATAGTCACCTAAATCACTTTAAGGCTGATTCCACTCACATCTACAGCTCTTTTATATCCCAGAAGAGCCTCGCAAAGAGCTGTGAAATCTCAGTTTTTTCTGCTAACACTATCATCATCCCCTGTTGATGTGTTTTTCTCGATATAAAATCATAATTTACATCTCCTCCTTTGCCTCCCGTTTGCTTGCTGGCCCTCTGGCCTGCTCCTCAAACCACTAATCAGGTAATGTTGGGGAGGTTGAATGGCGTGCCTCCCCCTGGTCAACCTTCACTGCTCACACAGTGGTGTTGTTTTAAAGAGCATTCTTTAGCAGCTGAACTTGGAAAGGTATTAAAGTGGGATTAGGCTCCTCCACAATCCACTGCTTGTGTCATTCAGGGAGTTTGTGTTCTCCTCTCCCCGCTGCCACCTCCCCACTCCTCCTCTGTTTGATTGTGGCTAGCCGCAGGAGTGGGACCGACTGTGCCTTTCAAAGGAGAGGGGTAGGGTTAAATCCCTAGTCCACTGCTCCCTGCTAATTCTCCTTGTTCCTTAGAGAAGGATTTACTTCTGCTGCCAGCTTCTCAAAGGCCTTCTCTGCCCATCCGAAAAGTCGCCGTTGCCTTCCTGTGGAGGTGTGGTTGCCATAGAAGGGGCGTCATGCATGGCTATTCCATCTGAACCCCGCTGAGAATGGGGACCGGGGACTGAAAACAGGCAGAAAGTCCGGATTAGACCCGAGGACAAAGCAGGACAGGAAGATTCCAGAAGGGACGAATAGGAATTACAGCAGCAAAAATAATGCAAAGTGACAGAGAGGGGAAATAGAAAAATAATGGCTTACAAGATTAGACTCGGCGAGGAGAAAGAAGAAAGGAAAGAGGGCTGAATGAGAATGTTTTCATCTAGATGAGAAGATTTGAGAGAGCGGTCGAAGGTGAATGCAGAGTCCTGGACGTATCAAAACCGCGCTAACAAGTCATTTCCGCGACTTTTTCGCCCTCATTCTTAGCTTAAGCCGGCAATCATTAGCTTCACATTAGAGTTAGAGCTGGGAACTCGTCTTGACAGATTCATCACCTCCTTTCCCTGATCACAGCATGTTAACACGCTAATCTCTCTTAACCAGGACAAAAAAAATCCCTGAATATTCAGTTTATCTCTATAGGTGTGTGTTGTTTTTTTTTTTCTTTTTTTCATCAATTGCAGTTGCTTTTTCGTTTTTCAGCATACAAACTTGGAGGTTTGTTTAGCAGATAGATCCAGGTTGGCAGGTCACTAAAACTAGATCCTTGCTTGTTTGAGAAACATGCCGAAATGTCTTATTCAAGGGATTATCCTTGAGGTTTTTCCATAGTTGAATAATAATCTTCTTAACTTGTTGTAATAAATGAAAGATTAAAGGATTGTATGAACCCTGGGAGTGCCAGTTTTCAGATATCTCTGTTGTTTTGCTGCTGCAAAGAAAAAAAAGGTCTCAAAAGCTGCATTTTTGTATCAGAATGAGGTGCCGATGGATCAAACAGTACAACAAAAAAAAAAAGAGATGTCATGTAATTAAGATAACATAAAGAGTAGCTCTGTTGATGTGTATCTGATGAGCATAATAATTTAAAAGGCTGCATTGAAAACACACCACCTTGTTTCCAGCATGCATGCAGCTGCTCATACAAGTGTGAACACACATGCGCACACTCGTACACACACAGAGTATCAGCACTCAATCAGCACCTATAACAACATTAGCATAACAAAACCTTCCTTTGGTTTCCCTGCACTCATATTTACACATTATATTCATCACTATCGCTCATCCCTGTCCCGAAACCAGCAGATGATGTCAATCGCTCCTCTCTCTCTGCCTCTCTGCCTTGCACAATGAAATAGATGTTCACCACAAATAGATAGGCGGTTGCCAGCTGTCTTCCAGACCAGGGCAAACAAAGAGGCCGCTAATAAATCCAGCTTTACGGCTGGACAAGATCAACCACACTCCCTGCCTTCTTGCTCCATTTAATGTGGCTTCTTGTGAACAACAGAGAGACGAATTAAATGCCTCTCAGTCACCAATAAAACAATGCTAGCATCCTTGTGAAAGCATATAAAAGAAGATGGAGGTGTTGTCGAGGATATGGAGATAGAGGCAGTGTGGAGCCATGATATTAGACAGTAAGATGACATATGAACAGACCAGAGGGCGGCTCAGTAGTCAGCAATGAATCACGGTCCCTGATAAGGTATCTGATGCATATAGAGGGTCCACGTTATGAAAGAAAAATGTCAGCGAAGGCTTGATAAGGATCAGGAGGATTTTCACTGCACTAGAACATGATCCAGCTTCTTTTTAGATGAGGGTGAGGGGGTTAGGGTGCCCATGTCTGGGCTCACTAGAAATGACGAGAGGCGGGTGGACCTACCCCTCAAAGTTTTAACAGAAGAGCTGCAGCCAATGGAGTCACCTCCTTGGCTGCCCACAGGACCAGCCAGGCCAACTTGACTCTTCATCAAAAAAACTTGATGGGCAAATGGTCTTTTGTCATACCAGACAAAATGACGACATAACAGCATATACCCCTGAATGTGTTGAACTGAACAAGGGTGCAGAAGGGTCTAAGGGACATGGATGTGCTCTATGAATTCAAATCTGTTCAAAACTTGCACATTTTTGCTGTACATTTAGTTTAATTGTGCAAAATTCAATATTCATTCAAATGAGAAACATTTTAAATAATCATATAAACAATGAACGACATAGTTCTTTTTTCGTTTCGTTTTTATTTCATCAGCACGCCCACAATCATTTTTTCCTTCTTCTTCTGCAGGTTGTTTGCGACCAAGTGCAGCGGCTGCATGGAGAAGATCGCCCCCACGGAGTTTGTGATGCGAGCTCTGGAGTGCGTCTACCACCTCAACTGCTTCTGCTGCTGCGTGTGCGACCGGCAGCTGAGGAAGGGCGACGAGTTTGTCCTGAAGGAGGGTCAGCTGCTCTGCAAGATCGACTACGAGAGGGAGAAAGACTTACTCAGCTCAGTCAGCCCGGATGACTCAGACTCAGGTGAGCCCCTCTGCACCCTCTCACACAGGAGCGAGAACGACACCGGGGTGCGATCATCACATGGCACCCTGGTGTTGTATTCTGTGTGCTCCGCTCCATCCCTGCGGTAGCCAATGAAGACATCCAACATGATGAACTGGTTTAAGGGCAATATTAGTAGCTTTAACAGAAAGAAACATTTTTTATTTTTCCTCTAACTTGTTGCCAGGTTTCTGCTTGGATATCAGAGATTCTGTCTCGCATGAAACCCACATAGTAAAAACTTCTAAGAAGGCTCCATCTGCTGCTTTACAATGGCTAATTTCCTAGCATTCTAATTCAAGCGTTGAGCGTAGGTTTCTGATACAGTAGGAAGGGGGAAAAGGACGAAGCCAAGCCCCCCCTGTATTAATGGCCCTCCATGCGTGGGCAGGGTCTGGTGCTGGAAAGAATTAAATCACTGTATCATGATGAGTGACAGAGGGATTTGGGGCCTTTCTGCAGAAAGCCTGCTCCTCCGCTCTTATCAGCTCGAGTGTTGCTCGCCTGTAGCCTCCACACACAACGAGGCATCTCGCCAAGCCTCACTGTTCACCACCATCTGGCTCACATTTAGACATGCACAAAAGCGAGGGAATTTGTCAAATACATCTGTGCCTGTGTCAACTTTTGTCAACTTGTGGGAATATTTGCTCTGCGTCTTCCTCGTTCGGTTTGTGTCCCGGCGTATCGCACAGGCATGTCTTTTGTGCGATGCCTCCGGATCTCGAGACATAGAGAAAATGTCGACATGAGGAGAGGTTAACCTCGGCATGTGGGAGAGTGTAGGTTTTTTTTTTTTTACTTATCAGATAACAATGAGAAATCATATGTGTCTCTTCTTACAGAAACTAGACCCCAAAATCATTAGGAGTCATTACCAACACTGCTGGTTTAGATTTGGAAACACTTGTTTTCAGCAAAACAAAGACGGATGTTTCTCTTATTCATTCATTCGTGTCATGCTTGTTTGGCCTTTATGGGAAGTGAAATTAATTTGAAATTCAGCCCCAAAAATGGTTTAAAGTGTTTAAAAACTCAGACCCTAAATTCTTAATTATCTATTTTTTTACTCTTTCCCAATATGGTCGTATCAACTTTCAAGTTGCACAACATTCTTCACACTCTTTTTTAGTACATACAAAATTCAGATCATAACATCAAATGTAAGAATAACTCATGAAGTTCCTCTTAAATTTAACATAGTGCTCTTTTATTCTTTAAAGTTTTTAAATACGTTATTTGAAAAGAAATAGCTGCAAACAGCAAACTGGCTTTAAGGTGTTAAGATAAACTAACAAGGCTTTCCTTAATGAAGAACTCAATCCAAGCTCCTGTTACATTATTATTGCATTTTGTAAGATAAAAGCATAAAAAATACAGATTTGACTCCCTAGGACTGCAATATCCTGCCGCTGACAGTAGAAATTTAGCAATCCGTATGAAGGATGTCATTATTTTAGGGGGAAATGGAGCAAAAACATAAGTTGGACTTCCTTGCTGTGTCATGGGAGATGCATTTCCCATATGTTCTCTTGTTGCCTTTTTCATGTTGCACTCGATGTAGTATTCTTATCAGAGATTGATTTAGTGTAAATCAGACAAAGCTGAGCGCCATAAATTTCACGTGACGCAGTGTCCAGTTCAATGACAAATGTGCATATTTCACTGTTCTCTCCAAGAGCAAGAGCGGCAGCCTCCTGAAAGTCTAATCGTACATGTGGCCTTTTCCTTTTGTAATAAATTGATAACAAAGTATCAGAAACACATGTGTCTCCTTTGATTATGTACTTGTGCTGTGTGAATCTTCCAGAATTGGGAAGAACCAGAATATATTTATCATCAGACTGTCAGGGTGTAGTCGGTTCAAGCTTGTACTGAAAATGATGTCTCTTTCTGCAGAGAAAAGTGATGATGAGGAGTTGGATATCAAGCCAGAGAAAGGCATCGCAGGCCAGGGGAAGGGGGATGATGGGAAGGATCCCAGGAGGCCCAAAAGACCACGAACCATACTGACCACTCAGCAGAGACGGGCCTTCAAGGCCTCCTTTGAGGTGTCCTCAAAACCCTGCAGAAAGGTAAGGAAAACTTTCAGTAATCTGCAACAACATCTTTTTTTTTTTTTTTTGGTATTTGAAGTAGTGGATATTTAGATGCAGACCACAGGCCCTACAGTAGTTTCAGAAATAAAATTCTCAAATTAAAAAAATCTCCCCCACCTCAGAGCTCAGCTTTGAAGTGGCGAGCAGCTTTCTGTTCTGTGTTAACTGAGGCAGGCTGCTCTAACGCAGTCCGCCTGCACAAAATATCATACTGAGAAAGAAGAACTGCCTCCTCAGCCTCGGCCCTGATGCAGGCGCTTGCACCCAGGGCCAAGGCTTTGAAGAGTCAATAACCAAGGGGTCTAATAACGACCGCTGTATTCATTCAAAACTCGGAAGAAATCAAAGCAAATCAAAGAGGTGCTGTGCCTGTTGGGAAATGTGGCAGATATGTTAAGGAGGCAAAGTATTACAGTGTTCTGTGAAGTATTTTTGATTTCATGTGGAATGCTACAAACCTTTTGACTCTGTGGTTTTAGGTGCGGGAGACACTGGCCGCAGAGACGGGACTCAGTGTTCGGGTGGTGCAGGTGTGGTTTCAGAACCAGAGAGCTAAGGTGAGAGCAGCTATCACAGAGGATGAGTCAGATTTGGTGTCTACATACAACAGCCTTGTTTCATCTCAGAGTCCTTGCTAATAAATCAGCACAACTATGTGTGTTAAACTTATCACTGCATTCCTTTCACAAATGTCCAAAAAAAAAAAAAAAAAAAAGAGCGCACAAGGAGTTGCAAATCTAGCTCACTCTTGCATTAAATGTCTACGCCCTCCTCTTTTCTGATGATTATCTCCTGAAAAGCTTTGATACTCGACAATGAAGTGCACTCACATACTGATTCTGTGCGGTTCACTTGAGGGTGAACAGCAAGGAGCATCCTTTTTAAATTAAAGAGCGCATGTTAGTTTTGGGGGCTCCTCACAACTTTGACTCCTCTCGTTTCAGATGAAGAAGTTGGCAAGAAGACAGCAGCAACAACAAGAACAACAGAATTCTCAGAGACTGGGCCAAGGTATGAAACTCCACTTACCCTGCACACACACAGGAGATCACTGGCTCAAAGCTCTTTGTCTGGGAAATTTCTCAGTTGCTATATAAAAACTTTTTTCTTTTTCCTTTTTGGTGTGGGGGGGCATTTGAAAGATACGTTTCCCTTTGTTACTGTTACTTCACTGTTTGGACGTGCAGAGACTGAAACATTTTTCACATTTACCTGAAATCTCTGTTAAGTTGTGTTTTTAAAAAGCATGATTTTGTGACATCAGAAATATAACGTGATCACTGTTAAGTAGGTGGGAAATGACAAGTGTGACGTGGAAACATATAGTATTCATAGATTCATAGGTATTTTAAAAAAGGGAGGAAGAGTAGATGCAATTATATTACTGCAGAGGAAAATATTTGTATCAGAGATTGCTATATGATCTGAAACATAGAGTATATAAAGATAGTTTAAGCTTTATATGAGCAGCAATATAATAGAAAAGTATCATATAGGTATGTATCATATAGTGTGAGCGTCTTCTCGCTGTTGTTACATTATTGTCTGATGTGTTGTGAGAAAAGACTTCACAACTTCATTGTCACACTGAAAAAATAATTCTGTGTCAGAAGACAGAAAAATTGTTTGGTCGCCAAAGACGTCATTTTGCAAAGCCACTGCAAAGGACAGTGTGGGAGGTGGGGGGGGGGGGCAGTGATAAAGCCACAAGAGTTTTTTTCTTTTGCAAGTCGATCAGCCAAGAGCTGTGTTGTTGGGGAATTGTGGGAGAAGCCCCATGGGGGAACAACTGTAGGTTTCCATGGGAACACTAACAGACACAGGCAAATAAAGCAGGCTTTTGGAAGTGGAAGTCTGATATAGTTCAGCTTGAGGAGATGTCAAATGACCAGGTATGAATGGGAAACTACTAGGGAGAAGCATGGTACTACTGTTTTACGCCTTCATCCTCCTGGTTCCCCTCGGCCATTTATAGTGCGTGGGTTCATTTACATCCTGCAAACTCATCCCAGGTGGTTTACTATATGTTTGCATTTCCTGTAATAGTTTTGCTCTCATTGCCTTGCAGAGGTGATGTCCAATAGGATGGAGGGAATGATGAACTCCTTCACACCGCTGGCTCCGCCACAGCAGCAGCTGGTCGCCATGGATCAGAACGGCTACAGCACGGACCCATTCCAACAGGGGCTCACCCCCCCACAGATGCCCGGGGACCACATGAACCCATATGGTGAGCATCCACAAACTACTGGAAGAAAAAAAAAAAAAAATACACCCACCCACTCATGCTTTTAAAAACACACACATGCCTGTCCCTTGATCAACCTCATAGCTCCCCAGCGTGGGACATGTGTTTTAGCCGCAGCCCCCCTGATTTAAAGCCGCTCACAGAGAGGTACGATCAGCTTCTCCTCCCACATGAGATAACACCCAACCGAGTGGGTTTTCAAGTTCATTTTAAAATCTGTTTAATATGGTTTTAACTCCCCGCCCCCTCTTCTTAAAACATACCCTGTTACTGATGACGTTTTCCCATGGTGGCAAAAACATGTGGTCAGTGGGGACAGCTCCATATAAATACAATCCAAACAGTAATTGATGAATCAGAATGTGAAAACAACAAGCATCTGATTTCTTTGTGACGCAGGAAGGAATTAAAACACAAACAAGGACGGGGGGGAAAAATTCAGTCAATCAAGAGTTAGTCCACAGGATGTAACTGGAATAACACATTTCTAAGTGATGTCCTCAACAGGCCCCAGAGGGACCATTTCCTCAAGTTCATAACTTCCTTATAATTTGCCTCCATTTAGTTCTTCTCGGTAGTAAGAACCCAAATCCCCCGTCTCATCACTCGCCTTTGGTTTGGGGAAAAGAACAATATTGGCAAGGCATTAAAAGATATGTCTCAAATCACTGTCCCCATTTTGTGCAACACTATCATTAAGATCCAGAGTGTAATAAAGTTAACTATTCCCTCCAGAGAAATAACACGTTGAGGTTTTATGAAAGGCGGAAACGGTTGCTATTAACCAGATCTTTTAGGAGGATGCCCCTTGTTTACATGCTCCCTCTTAGACCGCAATTGTCCCAGCGAGGGCAGCAAAAAGTGAGCTTTGATGATAACTAACAAAACACTTCTCTGGATTGTGATGACACACAACAGCGATTTCTCAAAGTGACTATTAGTAATTATAATTTCCCAAGGCTGCTATAAATCTAAACTACAAGATTGCATGGGTTTCATAGTCAGAGTGGGGCGTTGGTGCGTTTTTTTTTTTGTGTGATTGACATCTCTGCCACCGTATCCTGACGGCTGTCTCTGTATCGTCTCTCTTTGCAGGTAATGACTCTGCTTTCCATGACATAGACAGCGACACGTCTTTAACCAGCCTCAGTGACTGCTTCATGGCATCGTCAGAAGTCAACTCCATGCAGGCCCGCGTGGGAAACCCCATTGATCGCCTCTACTCAATGCAGAACTCTTATTTTGCATCATGAAAGAGAAAAAAAGTGGGGGGAAAAAAGAGGAAAACATCAGCACAGAATAAACTGCCCATCTCAACCCTGAAGCACGAAGGCCGGGAGTTTTTTCTCCACCAACACGGACTTGACAGAAGAAACACCTCCTTGCAGTGTCTCCTGGCTAAGTGCTGAAGATTACGCAAAGATAGTAAAACCACTTGTTGTAGGACGGTGAAGCTCCTTGGGGGGTAAAGACTTAAATATTGTTAGAGATTATCCGGTAGGAATGTTATCCGTCACAGGAGATATTACTCTTTTCTTTGTTCACTTAAAGAAAACAAGTAGATATTGGTGCCACCTATTACACAAACCAAATAACACAGTGAATTTATACAGTGCATGATCATTGTAAACTAAATCTTTTTGTAAGCCCTGCCCCCCCCCCCCCCATGGTTAAGATGTGGTGTTTGAACAGTTTCTTCTTCACACTACATGGAGTTCCATGTTCACTGTTAGCATTTTGATCACTTTCAATAGGTTTAGATATTGTGTTAATAGTGAATAGGTGCAGCATGTCTGCAAGAGTGACTGTACAGTTGTGTATGTATGAGAGGAAAAAAAGTGCGGAGAAGTGGAGACATGTAGGATCAGTGAAGTGTAAATACTTTCCCCAGGCAAATTGGATGTGCATGTTAAAAATGGAAAGCATTCTATTTATTTAACTATAACAGGCTCTTGAAGGTGCATATTAAAACTGAAAAGCTTTATTTAAAAAGGAGAGCATTTTTTTGTTGAGCAATTAGTGAGTTCATGAGTATCACAACTCATCTGTATGCCTTTTTAATATGAAGATTAACCCTTTTGTTTTTGTTTATTTCCTCAGCCAAGCTGTAAATGAGCAATGTTGCTATTTATTTCGTACAGACCATATACCTTTTGTTGTCATTGTCATATGTGCATTCTCAAAAAATGTTAAAGTTGCTAATTGACCAAAGTTGACTGGTTTGATGAATAAACAATGTCTTTCTCCTGATAACATTAAATAAATACCATTCAGTGATCATTCACATGGTAACACTTCAAGTCCTACATTAGTGAACGCTGAAGTATTGTACACATAGGTGGTCTCAAAGGATAACACCAAGGTTTTTTTTTTTACCATACTAGCTGCATGTCAATTGTCACTCAGTATCATGGATTTGTGACAAGAGACATGACATGACATGAGTACAATGCTCTGCTGCGCCTTACTTTTACTTTTCCCTAGTGGCCACTTGTGGTATTGCAGGAAAATATTTGAAAAGCATTTTCCTTGTAGACCACCATTATGAAATAGATATTTCCCCCCAAAAAAACTAATAGCAGGACACCTTACAGTGCAAACAAGGTCAAACTAGCTTATTAGGATTCTTTTTTTTTCTATCTAGAAAGGTTAAAAGTTTATAGAATTTGACTCAAACCAAGGAAAATATATGAAAAAACCTGAGACATAATCACAATATGAAGTATTCTGATCAGAGGAAATTTGCTGCCAGGGCCTGAGGAGACGGACTGATGAGCATATTAATACCACAGAAGATACTTCTTATAAAGTGAAGAATTCTTATTAGACTAAATAGGTGCCATGTCTGTGCCCAGTTTCCAGGTACTCATGATAAATCCATGGTTAGCATACAATGTCTGTTGGACAGAATTCCACAGAACTCCACAAAGACATTCGTATTCCCGACTCCATATCACTTTTCTGATCCCCAATACATGAGTCAGTCAAACTACAGGAAAACTCATGGCACTAACAACATGTTTGTGTTTAGTGTGTCTGTTGCTAGTAAATTATACTATCATGTTAATCTTAACTTAATCATGTAAATAGGATATCATTTACCAAAAAAAATACCAGCATGTTAGCATTCTGCTATGCTAAAACACAGCCCTTAAAATGTACAGCTAAACTGTGAGCAAATTCTTTCAATTCACCTATCTAGACTTCAGCTGCTGACCTGATACTCATCCGAGTTCATAACCTTTCCAATGTGTGACTCGTCTGTGAGGCACAAACATGAACATGTAGTGAGGGTGAGGTCGGAGAAAAGTTCAGGTGACATACCAGTACAGCTGCACGACTAGCTAGCAAACCCCACCTATATCCCGAGGGCTTGTCGGGCGGCTGCTTGGAAGTACCATCTGGGTGCTCCTTCATCTCTCTGACAGCTCCTAAAATGTGGCCCAGCAAGCCTCCACCCTCTGTTTGTGTAGTCACGTGAGCACGCGGATAAACAGTGCGTCCATGATGTTCTTTGTAACTATGACTCAATATTCTCCGAATGTCACCGTCGTGACAGCGTTTAATAAGCCTGGCTGTTATTTCTGAGCAGAAGGAGCACATGAAGTTGTCAAATGTGTGAGGATTTAGAGCATGAGAGCAGTGTGGTACATGTATATAAATATGTCTCTGCTATCAAGTCTTCAATCTGACAGCCAGGTGTTGGACCTGTTGGCAAGGTTACAAAGACATTTATCTTAACTTGTCTCACAAGAAGACGAGTATCCCCGCTAGCATGATCAGTGACGTCATCTGAAGCTGCAACCTGATTGGATGAGATTTGTTTGAGTATATAAATTAGATCAAAATGGATCAAAACCAAGCGACATGGAAAGGACTTTTCTTTTTACTTGTGTATGCTTTACTTGAAGTCACTATTTGTGACATCTAAGAAAAAGAGTTGAAAAGGAGACACTATGTTTGCATGTGTGTGCATACATATGTGCATAACAATAAGATAATATTAATAAGACTCAGGACAATGACCAGCTTTGCGTCAGGTTTCGAATATATTTCTGGATTGAAGTGTGAAAGACTGAGTACACAGACACAACAAAGGCTCCCATTTACAGTAAACAGGGATGGGGCTGCCACGCACGCATTGTGTTTGCACTGGATAGAGAGCACAATTAGGTTGAACCTCTCCCTTTTCAGGGCAGGCCAGGTGAGCTTACAGAGAGGTGTCTGGGTGTAGAGGAGGACTAAAGGCTGTGCTGACATTATCAGAAAAAAACAATCCTACATATGTATGCTGAAATGTCTTTATCTTATTACATTCAAAACCAATATAATGTAATAGCGTGATTAAAATATTTATTTTTTCAATAAAACAAGAATGTTATCTTAAAGAACACTGACATTTTGGAGGATAGAATACAATAAAATGTAAAGCTAATGCATGTTAAAACATGCAAATATCAATCAAACAACCAAACAGTATAACATGATTAATGATGGACTACTCATTAACCCTTTCTTTACCAAAGGTTTAAACCCACCTCAGGCTGCTGTTGCTTTTTTTTTTTTTTTTTTTTGGAGGGGGGTGACTTTTTGCCTTTATTTGACAGGACAGTGGATAGAGTGGGAAATTGGGAGGGAGAGTGGGAAAGGACATGCGAGAGAGAAAGGAGCCACAGGTCGGAATTGAACCGGGGTCGCTTGAAGGACTATAGCCTCCGTACATGGGGCGCAAGTTGACCTCTAGGCCATCTGCGCCCCGAGGCTGATGTTGCTTTAAAGATCAGCAGGAGTGTGAATTTCAGCCACACGTGGCAAAAGTTACACACTCTGTACTCCGGTAGAAGTGGGTAATTGCGAAAAACTATGCAAAAAAACCCTTTAAAATGTATCTAAATTCTTTATTAATTAAAAGTGAAAAGGGGAAAGGCTCTCAAATGTATACAGTACAAAAGAAGTAATACGCCCTTTGAAGGGAATTTCTATCTGTTTTCAATGCAAAGCTATCTAAACCTTAGGTACAATTTGTGATACTTTTACTCAAAAAATTTGTGTAGCTTCCAATGAAATTCAAAAATATTTCCTGAAAACAAAAATATTCAGTCATTTCTAGAAAAGCTTTCAAGCTGAATGAATGAGCCTGTTGTGAAAATATACGGAGAATAACTGACAGATATCTGACTTATAATGTTTATGTGTGAAGGCAAAACATTGTTATTAATAAATAATACAGGAAAGCAGATGAACAAGAAAACTCTGATAACTAAAACAAATGATTTGTACTTCATCAATAAGCCAGTCTAAGCTTTGTCCATGAAGCCTCTGAATCTAAAAGGCAGTGCTTTGCACCCTGCTTTCACAATATTAGTGGGAGTTGAGTAGACAGGGTAAAAACAAAAAATCATTTTGCCCAGGATGCAGTCCATTTATTATTTTTGCCTTCACATACTTCCTTGACTCTTTCCTCCTGTCCCTGCTTTCTTCACATCAAGCTTCCAGTTTGGCAAACAGTAAAAGGCAGTGAGTGAACCCATGTCACTTCTGCTTGTTCACTGGCACTCCGACGTGAATCGGCCAAAGACGACACTCAAAGGTTGAGGTAAGTGTGGCCTGGATATGAAAACAGTCATGCCGAAACCTGAGCCGAAGACACACACGCAAACCTCACGGAGAGTTAGGAGTCGACCTTCAGTAAACTGTTCACACATTTACTCTTCTGCCACTCTGGCACCACATAGGAAATGAGTCTAGTGACAATATTTTCACTAGATAACCAAAATCCTGAAATTTTCCACCTGAGACACAATTGGAGGTTTGTGATTCGCTTTCTTTTCTTTGACCGTTCGGCTCCCCGGCTCTGCCCATAACACTCGGAGCTTAATTTGTTATTTGTGGTAATTCAAAGCAAGATTCTCACCCGTCGCCCCATTAAAGCACAGCATGACTTTGGACAGTAGCAAAAGAGTTAGTAACACAAACCACATCCAACAACCAATCAGCCAGGGAGTGGCTAATGCAGATTACACAACAGTTTTATTGTTTTAAATGTACTGTACTTATAATTGGCATTTCTCAACTTCACATTCACAGCAGACCAATGTAACATTTTCCAATTTTCCAACTGAACCAAGCCCAATTAATTGTAGCTTTGCAGTTCCAAAGACACTCAGACGTCTGTGGGTTCAGTACAGTCTAGATTTCTTCTCAAGATTTCAGAGTTCAGCAGAGTTCACATTGAGTCCCCAGTGGGAGTAAGAAGGGGGGTTTGGGGTGTTTTGGTTGGGCATTTTCCATGGTGTGTGGTTAATTGTTAAAGGAGACTTTTTAAACCAGCGTCTGACACATATTCTATGAGCCTTGAGGGCTTGTGCATAATCAAATGGTAGACTATGCCATTGTTTTGGCCAAAGAGAAGTGTGAGGGGTCACAGAGTAACAGCCAAGCATGTTCTCAGTTTGTCATTTTCCTCATTTATCTGCATACGTTTGTGAAAGTAAATAAATATCTGTATCTATCAGTGAAGGAGCAGTGTTCATTTAGCAGCATAGCCATTCAGGTAGGCATTTAAAGGGGCACCATGTCCTCACACCATCTGTGGCTTTATTAAATCTGTCAAAAGCACACACAAAAAAACACTTCTGCCACCGTATGAGGCATTGTTTTCATGCTACAGCTCCAACAACGATGTAGTAACAGTTATTTCATTGCTGCCACAGAAGGAAACTATTTTATTGAGTTGCCACAAGTGATGCAATACATTTATTTCTAGGCTCCTTATAGAGAAGAGAGCATTGGCAATACACAAAATCTAATAGAAATACAAAAAAAAGACCAGGTTTCAAAGACAGATTCAGGTAAATTGTTCATTCCTCATGTAAAAAAAAAGAAAAAGAAATAACCATTTGAACCTCTCTGTACACATTTTTGGGATGTGTAAACATATTGCTGCAACTGTTTTTTGACCTCCTGCCTCTGTTCCTGTGCTGAGAAAAAGATGGTGTGGGATTCACCTCTCAGCGCCCAGGGGTGCAGATAGAGCCCTGGATAGCGCTGCAGTAATCCCCACCACTATTGGAGCCCATCTGTTTTGGTTTTCATTTTTCTGCATTATTAGTGCTTATTGGTACATGGTCTAGGAATGTAGGCAGGGTGTTTGAAGTCAAGGAGGAAGGTGATGCCAGGGGCATTAGTCGAAGGAATGATGACCTTAAGGGTCGAACACAAGCTAGCACCACTAACCTCCAGGAGCCTCTCCC